GCGTGTAAGGGGGGTTGGGGGAGGGAGACAGGAGGGCGTCGGGCTAGCTCCATCAGAGCCCCAGGAGCCATCCCCCGCCGTAACGCTGCGCCCGCTCCCCCTCCCTCTGCCTACCTGATCGGAGTCAAAGACCCGCTTGCCGTCAAAAACCGTCTCCTCCTGTCGCACTGGGCGGGTGCCGCACGCGATCATCACTTTCTCGGCCGTGAGCAAGGTCTTGGGCAGGGAGGCCTCCCGGTGCTTGTAGATCCCTTTCCGCTCCTGTTCCGGGTCCGTCAACAGGACGGCCAGCTTGACGTGGGCGTCATTCGCGCCATTTTCCAAAAAGCGGGCCGTGCCTGTGAAGATGGAGGAACGAAAGCCGGGCAAGGACGAGGGCTGTGAGGACGGGGCGAGCGCAGAGGGAGCGCGGGCACGGATCTCCCGGTCTCGGAGGTCTTGAGACCAGAGAGAGAGGAGGGAACGAAGGACGTCGCCCACGTCCTCCCCGCGCTAGGAAGGCAGTCAGGACCCGCTCGACGGCCGCGGACAACGCATCATCCCACCGTCCAAGCTCTTCGACCATGCCCATCGATCCCAGAACCAACGGCACGACCGCTTCCATCCATTCACCCGCCTTCTCCCCCCCCTCCCTCCCCCACCAAAGCCCCGAATCGAAACGCCTCGTACCCGTGACCAAATGCACCCCATTCCTCCGCATCTGATGCCGCGTCACCTCTGCCTCCACGTCCTCCACCTTCTGCACCCGCTGCAAGATCTCGTTCATGGACGACCGGCGGGAGGACGTGAACGTGGATTTTCCGTAGAAGCCCTGGTGCCGGTACCCGGTCAAGTGCAGGACGGCCTCCCTGAACGTCTTGCTCGGGATGGTGCCTGGTCCCGAGGGCATGATTGTGTGCGCAAATGAGGTGGAGAGGAGTGGATTGAGTACATACGAGGCGCTGTCTTCCCTCTTTGCCCCCGCCCAGCCCTCCCCACTCCAACAGGACCAGGACGACGCAGGACTCGACCAAGGTCCTCCGTGCCGACATCGAAGATACCCCAAGGCGGACACGGCGATTTCTTACCTGTGTGCACGCACACACCGCCCATTTGGCTGTTCTTGTCTATCATGGCCACCCTGCGTCCTCGTTTCACGCTGTCGATCGCGCATTTTTGCGCAGCAGGGCCCGACCCAATCACGATCAGGTCATAGTGAGCCGAGGGGGGGAAATTATAGAAGCCGGCCCCGCCAGTGCTACTTAGAGCACGGCATTGGAGGGGGGAAGAGGGCAGGGAAGAGGAAGGTGCGTGGGAGGAAGACGGGGAGGTGGGGCACAGGGCATGACTGCGAGGCTGCCGGAGGAGAAAGCGCCGTAGATACCACATGCTTAAGAGCTGGATTTTAGCACGTCCAGCGAGCGCTATGAGGATACGTGCAAGACGCATGAAGAGAAGAATAAGTTAGGCGTGAATTTAGGGACTTTACGCCATCTGCGGGCCTTGCACCAAGGACGACGCGAGCCTTTCACAATCGACGATGATGGAGGATGAAAGGACATTGCGATAGGGATGCCGATTACGCGCCAACAGGGCTCGAATGCAGTGCTCCATCACCATTGCTTGTCAGCTCCGTCTCAAGAGAATTATGTTGCAAAGTTGGCAAAGACGGCCCTGAAATTAAATCTCTCATGCGGTATTTTAGCACAACAGGACAAAAGGAATCGGCAAGTGTAGGAGAAGAGAATCTGAAGCGTTCATCATCTCCGCAAATTGAATCTTCTGGCAGTCCAGGCGCATAGAAACGCATTAAATAAGTTCGTAGGATCTGCACATGCATGAATCGCGCGGCGTCCCATGGATTTTTCATCTTTGCAAACCGATTAAATTGCTTCCGAAGGGAGGGCGAAGTAACGGTCGGGGGAATGACGCCATCCTCTCATTCCTGAGAACGCAGACAAGTCGAGCCTGAAAAATGTGCTTACACAGTCGAGATACACCCTGCTTCCATGAAGTGGACTATTTGACTGAAAAATGATGGGTCGCCAGGGTTTAATTCTCACGTTTGTACTTCTTGCGGCCGACAGGCATCTGCATCACGGGAAAAAGTAGGACAGGATACTCACTCCCTCGATAATCAATCTCGTTCGATCCACAGGGCCTACAGCCAATATGATTCCTCTATTCCGACCCGCACATCACCGCCTCCTTCGTCTCTTGGCCCATATTTCACGCACCTCCTCATCTACCTCCTCTTCCACGTCCTCCTCCCCTCCTTTTTCCACCTCCTCCCCTCCTGCACCTTCTTCTCCCTCCCCCTCCATCCTCGCTCATCTGTCATCTTCTGGCATTGGCCACATCACGCTTAATCGGCCCTCGGCCCTGAATGCCCTCACTCTGGAAATGGTCCGCTCTTTGATGACCCTCTTTTCCCCGACCTCCGCCAGTTCGTCCTCCTCGATCCCCTCCCCCTCTCCATCCGCCTGGGCCGCTGGGCTCGGCAAAACAATGCCGTTGGACGAGCAAGGGGCACCAATAAACCTGATCGTCATGAGGGGGGCGGGAGGGAAGGCTTTCTGTGCGGGCGGTGACGTGGTGAGTGTCCGGGCCGCGGTCCTGGCGGGGGGGATGAAGTGCGCGGGGGAAAAGGGCCACGCGGCCGCCGATTTCTTCCGGGAAGAATACCAGCTCAACAAC